AACTCGAGCTTGGACGAGGGCGTCGTGTCTTCACACTGAGCCACTGTCATATGCATGTTATATAGTCCAGAGCGTGTCTGGCCAATGGCTGCAAGTATATCGGCTCTCAGAGAGGCAACTTGAGAGACCCTTCCGACATCTTTATCACACAGGAACAGAGTACTGCCATTCTTCTGCTGAAAGTATTCTGCTGAGTCCAGACGTATGGGAAGAGCGGCGGCCTCGCCCAAAGTTGTGCGGCTTATGAGGCAGTTGACAATTGCGTCACAGGCCAGGCGAAGAGCACTGGGGTCCGTAGACTTGACAAAGGGATAGACGAGGTTGACATGGGGTGGCCACTTCGTGTAGGCCTTGTCGTTGTCGCAACGAAGTCGGTCGACTGACGACCATTGGTCCCTAGGCGGAATCAGGCAGAGAGCCGTGTCGTGGGTTGCTGGAACTGGGAACTCCATAGATAATAGTGTATTGGTGAGACTAGCGACTGGATTTTGCTGATGCTGTGGTTGGGGGGGGGGGGGGGGGGGGGGCAGTTATACAAGGTACGCCAGCTGAAGAAGCGGGTTGGTCCTCGTGAGCAGTCGACCCCTGGATGTGAGAGTTGATTACCTCTCGGAGATACTGGAAATGATAAAGATAACTGCCCGGTTTTACAAGCTTAAGGAGGAAGAGAAACTGCTGCCTTTTGTATGCTGCTGAATGAATTGATCAAACAAGGCAGCTTGCGTGCAGGCGTCTTACTGGTTCAATATGAAAACAGCAACTGAGGCTGAATTAAGGTGGGTAAGTATACGAATCCCTGGCACCCCAAGAGGTATTTAAAGTTTAGAGTCCAGGGTCGCCAGCTTCATTGAGCTAATGTCGGGATCGTTGCGGGGAGTCACTGGCCGAATGTGTCACTCATATAAGTGTCACAGCTCCCTTTAGGGTGTCTTCGAGCCAAGTTGGAAGGAGGTATGTACCTAGGTAGGTGCCTATAGAAATGGCATTGACTCACGGTTATTATCGCCTATCCTCCACAGCGGTGGAGTGGGCTTGGAGGGATTGTTGATAGCTGGTCGTGGTTGCAAATATGGGTCATCCGAGGTTGCCGAATGACTCACGTACTCGAAAGACGTCGTCTGGCAGTGAACCAGTAGGATACCTACGCACTTCATGAATGCTTGCTGAATTAAAGCACCTGTCCACTGTTATCCGTGGGTGGTAGCAACGCTGGCGGAGATGTGTGGCTTAGGCGATGTGTGGCTTAGGCGAGTACCCACTTGGGTAAGTGGGCAATTCTACATTTCTGGCTGCACTGCCTGCTCCATTTCATGCAATAACTGCCACACTACCTCTATTTTTTATTTCTCCTATAACCTAAGTGAATTACAGCTCATTTACAGGCCTTTTGTTCTTATCTATTAAGAGATCAAAGACCTATGTCACAAGGTGACCAAGACTGTAGGCTAGGATGGCTGTGCTAGTTATAGCTGAAGGGCTATAGAGACCACTAGACCACTAGGAGTCACATGACTAGGAAAAGGTTTACAGAGGATTTAAAGGTAACACTACTAAGAAAGGCCTTACTATAGTTTTCTTTTTCTCTTTATCTGTTACGGGCTATGCCCGGTCAATTGGCATGGGCTGGGCCCATCGCTTGCCTTCATAAGTGCTGCCAGACAATAAGTGAGGGACTTGTTGTTACGTACCTTTTGACTATCTGGCCGGATGGCTCAATTGGTAGTGCACGCCATTATGTCCGCCCGCTCAACGCACCAGGCAGGCCCCACATAATGGGACACTGAAGGCTGAGATTTGCTGGCAGCCGAACTACGCCCACACTAGTGGGCCTGTTCCTTCACATTATTTTAAAATCTTTACTCTAGGTAATATAGTTATAAGTTATTTAACCTTAGTTATTAATACTGTAGTAATAATAAAGTTAAAGAATTTTATATTATAGATTATATAGACTACATTATAAAATATAAACTATATTAATAACTAAAAAAGTACTTTAAAAAAGAATTCTAAGATTTTATAAAATATTAGTAATAAGATTATAATAATTATAGTATATATTCCTAGCCTTTATACTTTAAATTAAAATGGATAGCTAGTTATTTATTATAATTATTTAAAAAATATATAATTTCTTTATAAATATACTTTTAATTAATAATAATCTCTTAAGTTAAATTAAACTAAGACTTCTTAAATCTAGTATATATATATATAATCTAGTATATTAAAAATATATTCTTATATATTTTATACTTTAGACTTAAATAGTTAATAATTTAATATATTATAAAACTTTTAAAATCTTTAACTATTATAATTAAGTTATAACTAATTATATATATATATATATATATAGTCTTAGTTTACTTTTTAAGCTTACTAGTATTTAATCTTATATTATATAGTTTATACTTATACTTTATTAACTATATTTTTTAAAAAAAAATATATATATTTATAAATCTTTTTAAAAATTCAAAGAAGTAGGTCTTACTAGTTTAATTAAGAAAGTAAAGCTTTATTAAAAAAAGAAAAACTCTAGGTTCTAAAAATAGTTTTTTTACTTTAATAGCTTTTATATAACTTATACTATTCTTAGAATTAAGATTTAGATCTTTAATAAAATAATCTTTTACTTTTATTTTTTCTTAATATACTAATCTATATAGTAAGTTACTTTCTTTTTTATTACATCCTAGAGAGTACTTTTTAGATTATTCTAAAACTTTAAGTCTTTTTTTAAATAGATAAAGCTTTATATATAGATACTAATAAGGGTTAGAAAGTAATAAAAATACTCTAGAAATTATTATCCTAACTCTAAGTGTTCTTATTACTCTTACTAAAACAAGTTAGGGTTAAAGTATAAGGTTAAAACAAGATAATAATTCCTAGAGTAGTTAGCCGAAAGCTCCAGTAACGACTGGCAATATAGCCACAGCAGAGCTATGTTGGTTGACTCTGCGGCCACCGCGGGTATTGTTTCTGATGGTGGTGGAATATTACTGAGTGTGACCCAGTTGAGCCAAATGGTGATTGGACATGCACAGTTGATTGTGCTGCGTGAGCGACCACTACAGTGAGAGAAACAAGGACATAAGTAATGGAGTTTGATAATGGGCTAGAAAAAAAATTGAGAACAACAAGAAGAGTCAAAACGTTGATGGGCTTGAATATTGGGTCCGAGATTGTTGGGAATAGATATATGTACCTACTTTATGATATCTGCTATTTAGATTCCAAGCTGACTGGAAGTACCACCGGTCCCTCGCTAGAAAGCCTGATTTCGGCTCCAAACGGACGAATCACGGCCAATCCTCCAGGAGATCCCCTCCTCAGCATACGATGTCATGTTGGTTACCTAGGTATATCTCGAGTACACATTAGAAACTGTGTCTTTCCAGTACCACAGAGTCCCATTGATTAGCTGGAGTATTCCCGCAGTCAGCCTGGAACTAAGTACTCGTCAGGATGTCCTACAAGGACGAAGCCGTCCAACGCAAGTGCAAGTAGTCTTGCTAAGCGAGTTCTTTTGACGTATGCCAAAGATCATCATGGTCATGCCTTCATACAAGATGCTGCTGTCCTTCGAAACCAAAAGCCATCCCGTGGCTCTCCAAGTCCGACACATTGCAGGACTAATGGAAAACCTCAGTCGCCCTGCGCGCCATGCTCAATCCCAAACGCCCAGGGAGGTAAGCTCAACCTGTCAAGCAACGAGCCTGTAGACCACGCACCGCCTCATATAGCTGCCACTCAGGGGAGTCAACAGCAAAATCAGACCAGCTGAAAGCCATCAGCTTCGACAGCGCGAGTGCCATCTTGACGTAGGTTCTGACGCGCTTTACGGCCCTTGAGGATCTGGCCATTCTCGTTAAGGATCTCATACTCCTTCTCCACCATGCGCTCCGTTTCACGCCCCGTCGTTTTGATAAAGACATCAAGGGCCAACGGCCGGTTGGGACTTTGAATCTTATCAAAGCTGTATTTCCAATCCTCGGAGGCGGCAAGGTTCTTCCATCCCTCCTGAGATGGGGCCATCTCCATAACCGATCGACTGAGAGGGTCCTTAATCTGCTCCTTGGCTCGTGCTGCAGCATGCAGGCGGCCTTGGGGAAGCTCCCAGTGCGATCGAAACTTTGTTACGTTGTGCTGCATCTTCCTGTAATGAGACCTGCGTCTGACGTGTTAGAGGAAGCCATGCGAACACCAGCACAAGTGCTTCTGTGGAAAACGTACGTCTCACTATTCTTTCCCCTGGGACGCGCCTTGGCTCTCTGCTGCTCGGTACCACCGACAGCCTCCATAGTGGTCCAGTCAAGACGGCAACCGGCAAGGGGACGGGCTCCGTTTGACCATTTGGACTGCGAGTCCTTGGTCCTCTTGTAGTCCTGGTGTGCGCTTCGGAGGTCCCGGTCGAAGTAGGCCTGAGATTCGATCGCGGCAGCCATTAGGTCGGCTTGCTCGTCGCGGGGAAATGACGGTTTGCGGTGGTCTTGGACTCCTCAAGAGGCGCTGCCGCTGCTACGTCGCTGCCGAGCGAAACACACTATGTTCGAAGGTCCACAAGTTAAGAAGTTGTGCGAAATTCGAACTCGGGAACAGTGAAGATGATTGGTTCACTGTGATGTCTATTACGGATGGCGTTTGCGTATGGGTGCGGTCGGATGCTTCGTTGAATAGAAGGCAGAGGTCAAAGAAGGGATAACGGATAGATATAAGATGGTGGGGAGGAGGGAAGCCGTCAGAGGTATGCCCGTCCCGGTGACTGGATCCAGATGACGGAGGCTGAGGCGAGGCAAAAAGGCAAGACAATGTGAAAGAGTTGGTGGGTGAGGCCAAGTACCTAATCACTGTTGGTACGGAAGTGGTCGGGTGAGTCACCGGACAAGTCAAAGGGCTGAGTTACCGAGGATGACAGCGCAGCGACGATAAAACGGGAAAGGAGAGTGCTAAGAAGGAGCAGGTACACAAGTGGATAGGCAAAATAGAGGGTAATGCTAGAATATAGGTAGAGCCAGAGACAAGCGTCCAAGATACTAGGTAGATGGTGTGACGGTGCGGTCTTTGTCCTCGATGCTGTTGGGCAGAAGGGTCAATGAGAAGGGAACGTAGCGATGGGCTCTATGGGCAAGGAACAACGAGCTGTGGATGTGATCTTATTATACCTTGAGGGGGCTGAGCACACCCCATAAACTATCATGGACCGAGCAGGAAGGAACCCGAGGGAGAAGCCTGGAAACAAGACAAGGTGCCGGAAAGGCAGACGGGAGGCGCGTGTTCCAACTTTGGAGACAGCCGAGCTGAAGTTCCAGACGAGACGGGACGAAAGGAAGTGACGACGTTGGCTGCTTCCTTATCTCTGTTGTCTGTGTCGTCAACCTATCTAAACTACCTCGGTAGGTGGATAGGTACCTGCCTGAGGGGGGGGGGGGGTGATCCAAGTCTACCTACTTACAGCCTACATCCCTACCTACCTAGGTAGGATGGACTATCTACATGCAGTAAGTACAATGTAGGTAGTGAATCGACCTAGACCTCCGGAGGTCCAGAGCATAAGTTATAATAGTATTGTCTCGGCTCACCGTGGGAGGGTGATGAGTGGCCCGAAAGGTGCTGCTGATACGCATCATGAAAAAGCTCGGGGCGTGGTCAGAGGGGAAAGGGAGGGGTGGCTGCGTCACCAGGTCTCTCGAAACGGGACATTGAGCTGCGAGTCCATGCTTTGAGCGACACATGGATTGCTCCAATCAGAGGTAGTGGGCGTGGACGAAGGAGGATGCAGAAGATGCCGACTGCGATCAGGTGAGCCTAGCCAGCTGCGCACAACTGTCAGACAGCCCGGTCTCATTCGGTTGAGGCCCAAGTTGAGCACGGAGCACCGACGCGGGATGGGTACGTGCCGCAGTACCGTACTTGAGGTCAGCAGGAACCAGTCGCATTGCCACTATTGATTGATGTCATGGATGGGTCGTGCATTGCTTTCATGCACTCCGCAGCACACTGTGTACACTCTAGTGACCTTAGTTGGGCAGACGGCATCTCCAAGCCTTGGTCCCTGGCCAACACGGGCGCATGTGCTCGCCGATGACGATGCTGGCATCCCACCCACTCCATGCACTGCTGCTCAGCTTTTGTCACGCTGTCGGCCGGCCGCTCTGAGCCACACCCAAAGTACCTTGCTCGGGAATTGCAATGTACCCAGCCTGGTGGTCCCGGCCTCACGCAAAAACGTGTGGGATGCCGCCTTGCTGTTGGCTGGCGCACTGCCAGCTCAGCCTGAAGATGGTGGTTGCTTTGGGGTCATATGGCCTCACCCGTAACCCCCATCTCCATTAGCTTCTCCCCCAACTAGCACCCGCTCCCATTTCCGGCCTCGACAGCTTCGCCCACTTGTTCGCTGAGACAGAAGCATGCGTCAGTCTTCTCCAGTAACACTGAATGGAGCCCCGCTGCCCTATGCCAACAGGGGCCGGTCCGGCTGGTGTCGTCCATTCTCAAATCTCTTGGAGCTGTCAACCGTTATTCGTGACGTTGGAGTGCGACAACTGTCTTTGATTGGACGGGAATGACGGAGAGAATCATGAGGCTGGACGGGTCAACTGACGTAAGCCAAAGCCCCCAGGACGACACATCCGGCAGCTCTCATTGTCCCCATTCTCCAGCTCCTTGGGAGAGGGCAGTCTTGGGTGCGGGGTCCCTATTGACTTACTCCCATGTTACGTCGTCTCGTCAGCCTAGGCCGCTGCCGCTCCTGTTGAAACCAGCTCCTTACCGGCGATCCAGGAAGAAGTCGGGGTAGCTGCTGGCACGATCCAGGCAATCTCAAAGCCTGGGTTGTGGAACTCTACTGGCTTGGTATTGTACCCTCTCTATGAGCGACACAGGAAAGCCAAGGTGGCTCTCTTCAGATCTGTGGCCTATAAGACTGCAGGCAGCAACTCGGATCCAAAAGGGAAAATGCAGGCAATACTTAGACGGGATGGCTTCGCGGCACGCCATCGCTATCACCCGGCCCGAGCTCGGAGCTTCCACATCTTTCACATCACCTTTCGTGGACATGGTCGAGGGTGCCGCAGCGCCGCTGCACTGGTCAGACAAAGATCCCAAGTATCTACACTATCGCAATGCCCGGGGTTTGCAGGACCAAAAGTCAGGCGCATAGGTACTTACGGATGTAGTTTGGTCGGGTCTTCCTAGCCCTCACGTTTGTGCGCTCTACACTCCAGCCGCTCCCGGGCCCGTGCCTCGAGACACCATCACCGCTTATGAGTTTCTCGCACTGATCTTATTTGTCTTGGCAACCAACTCTCGGGTCTCTGACATAGAGCATCTGAAAAGCCCCTTGGCCCCTGATCCAATCTCCCAGCCACGGCTGATGCAGGTGCTCAATGCTGTCCTTCTTCTGTTTAGAGACGGCTACATATCATCTACTATGTTGGACAGTACGATCAATCAACAGACACAAAGGTGCAAGAGGGGAAATGCGAGAGCAATCGGCAACTTCTTCGTCTTCATCATACGCGTCGCTCCTTTTGTCTGTCCTAATGTTTGCCGGCTGGATCTCAAGTCCTGGCTTACTCTCTCTTGCCGTTGTCTTTCATTAAACTACCTAGTGAATGGCGCTCCTGTAAAAATGACCTTCCTGGACCGGTCCCCTCTACAGCTACTGCTCAGACTTCCCGTATCAAGGTACACCTTTCAGGTCAGCTTATTGAATGGTACTTGATAACCCGTACCCAGTTGGATTCGATCATCGGCGCACGATTGGAGCGGAATAGTAGTCAATGCAAAGCACCATAAAGTGTATTGGCGGAGCAATTGCTGGGGTTGCTGGGAGACCACTGGGTGCAACATTGAAGGTCTCAATGCGTGCAGCTTCAGGTAGGTGAGTCGTTCTTCTGCTGCCCCCGATGCTTGGTACACCGGGAGTTGTCTACCGCGATCTTATTTTCGGGAATAAACACTGATTGCTGGGGCTCACTGGAGCCTCAGTCCGCAGCCCGGTGTCCGCCAAGGCGATCCATGGTCACTTTGAATCTCCAACACAGGCGTTACTGGGCCATTTGTTGGACCAAACGATGGGCGATAGCTTTAATGACACAGGCCTTTGGGTTCCATTTGCAAGTCTGTGATATATTCGGCGAATATGTGGGTACGCTAAGAAGGGGCCGGGAGGAGCAGTCCGAGGTCCCGAGAAACTCGCAGTACCGCCAAGAATTCGTTAGTGTCATATCATGGCATTCGCAGCATCGGTATCAAAAAGTTGAGTCTGGTTAACCCAAGTTCTCGTCGGGGAACGCCTGGAAGATTGTTGGCGACTTTTCCTCTTTCGTGCTTATTTTCGTGAAAGCCTTCCGCGATGGTCTGGCGAGCTAACACAAATACATCCCGGGGGTTGAGCCTTTCTTGGCAGTCAACCCATGATTACAATCCTGCCTTTTGGTAACCAGCTGATCTGCACTATGCTGGTGTTAGCGGACATATCCGCTTCCACTCATTCATTTCTAGGGGGCGCAATCCTCGCTTTTTTATTGACACCATCAGCCAGTGACATACCATTTCGTGCTTTATCAACCCGTTGCTTGTATGGCATCATAAGTGGTGTCTATATGGAAATCAGAAATTTAGCCAGCGAGTGGTTTGTTTCATCATGTCTCGCACTGGCCTAAAGTTGTAAGACTTTGTTAATCTTTGCCCTTGTATCCAACGTTGCCCCCGTCTATACCGGAACCAGCTTTTCTTCTAACTCCATTATAGTCTTCAATGTCTGCAGACAATGCCGAGAACAAAGAGCTGATCCAGGTCTCCCGCCCATTACGCTCCTCTCTTTCTCTTGCATACTCACCCCAAACAACCATCCACGCGTCTATGTTCGCTCATCATGTAGCACGCCACAATCCTTTCTACCACCGGTAGCGCCACAGCTTGGCAAGTATCTGTTCGGGCTCTGGAAGCTGCAATGCCTCGTATCAACAATCCTCTCCTCGGTATCGCCTCCACTTGGCTGGATGGTCATCTCCACAACTCGTTTTCCACCTGAGAGACCTAGGGCCTGGGGCTAGCATGCGAGGTTCTCTCTAGCGTAGTCTTGGCATCTCGAGGGCAGATCAGGCCACTATGCTTCAGTGCTTCATCCTGTAGCCCTAAGCCAGCTCGTCTGGCTCTAGGTCCACCTCGACCACCCTATCATCCGAGAGCCAGCAAGCAATCGCTTAACGTAGAGCCGCAGTCTTGCTTGTGCTTTGGACTTTTGTAAGATCTGCGCAGGAAGGGACATTGGCACTGGCAATGTGCAAGACCCGAGAATGGTGGTCTGCAATGATACCTTGGAATATATAATTCTTATGTCCTGTCCCCTTCACACTGGATGAAATTCCCCATCTGTCTTCCCCTCAAGCTTGCCGCCTGCCTCGGAGTCTTTCGTTTGCTTCTCGGATTGAGGAGGCCCTTCCTTTTAGACTTACAACCTGGCGAAACACTGCCATCATATCATGTCTTTAGCCAACAAATTTCTACGCCTTCTTGGCCTCACAGGAGCTGCATACGCAGCATGTTCCAGCCTTCTGATTGACGACTTTTCGAGATCATCGCCTTCCGGTCTGAACAACTTGAGTTCATGGACTAGTGATGATGGCTCCATGACAAACATCGCTCTCACCAGCGGAGTACTCTCATTCACCCCCAAGCCAGACCCCCCGTCGTACTTTTACGAAACTCTTGGTTGCTACCAAGTAGCTTCTGGCGGTTACAAGGCACTGTCTCTGACTGTCAAGGGGCCCAAAGGTGCTTCATTCATGGTGGAGATTCAGAGCAAGCAGGCCTGTTCCGATAAAGAGTATAAAAGCCAGTGGGTTGCCGTTTCTGGCCTGACGGGCTCGTCACAGACTATCAGCATTGCTCTTTCATCGTTCGCTGGTGCCAGCTTGGACGGCATTGTGGGCTTTGTCTGGTCTGGCTACACCCAGATTTCCGACTACCATTTCAGCAACATTCAGCTCACTTGCAACGAAGCTACGAGCTCATCCCCCTCGTCGACCCTTGCCACAGGAATCTCTATTTCAGCTCCACAGTCTGCTCCAATCTCCTCCAGCTCCAGCACGTCGTTATCGGGATCACAGACTCGCTCTTCATCATCGACATCACAAGCTCGTCCCACCTCGTCTCCTTCTACTGCATCGATCTCACAAGGCCGCACGTCTGCAGGCTCGTCAACCTTGACCGCCTCATCAAGGACATCGTCCCTCTCTGGCAGTAGCAGTCGCTCGCAGACTGTGTCTGGTTCGATCACGGCTCAGTCATCACCAGGCTCGTCAAGTTGTAGTAACCTTCTCATCGATGATTGGGAGTCTCAGTCACGTTTGACCTTCCTCTTTTACAACGCTATGCTGCAGCCAAGCAGCGACGATGGGACTATGAACAAAATAGAGGTTGCTAGCAATAGGGTCAAGTTGACTCCCAACAACAAGAATTCTTACTTCTACAGTAAGACTGCGTGCACAAATATTCAGGCGAAGGGGTACGGCGGGATTTCCCTTCGCATCAAGGCCAGCAGGGGGACAACATTTGGTGTCCAGCTGGCTTCGGCGACAACGTGCAGCGGCGAGGATACGGCCTTCGGTTTCCAGACTACCAGTGAACTTGGTTGGACTTTTGACGGTACCGAGAAGCTGTACAGCCTGCCTTTCTCCAAGTTTACGACGATCGACCTATCCAAGGTGACCTCTATCTTGTTCACCACGCTCTCTGGACCTGTGCAGTTCGGCCCTATGTCTTTTTACTGCGGTACCGTCCCATCTGAGTATCTCGTCAAAACGCCGCCGTCAGCCACTGCCACGGTCTCGACCGTTGCCGCGCCCAGTAGCACAGCAGCAACCAAGCTTATCGACGACTTTTCAGCTAAGGATCAGAATTCTCTAGGGCAATGGCATGGCGGCGATAACGAAGATGCAGTCAAGTGGGTTAAGGGCAAGGTGACTATAAAGGCGCCGGATGCCGATTTCGCCTACTACACTCAGTTCGAAAATTCATGTGCCGACTTGACTAGTTACGATGGTTCTTACCTGCACATTGCTTACACAGGGAGCAACAAATTCACCATTGCGATGCAGCAGCATAACTCGCAGTGTAACGATGCCATCGCACCATTCCCCGAGACTTGGGACTCGCTCGAAGCGGCGCGTTATGCTACTGGCAACCACATCTACATTCCTATGTCACACTTCAACATTGTACGGACACGTGTGGTTGGCTTAGCCTTCAAGGGTTTCTATACAAACGAGGCTGTCACGTTGACCAAGATCGAGATTGTCTCATTTGTGCCAAAGGACGTCTACATCCCGACGAAGATACCTTCCGGCAACCTTGTCTTCGCCTGCAAGCGTCCTAATTCGATTGCGTTCGCCATTGACGACGGTGACCCAACATACGCCCAAGAGGTCATGGAGGTTATTAGATCCGAGAACATTAAGGTCACTTTCTTCACTGTCGGCGCGCCTCTTAGAGACCCCAGCACGAATCTGAGCAACATCTATCAGGATATGATGACGCAAGGTCACCAGATGGCTCTCCACAGCTACACTCATCCCAGGATGGAGGGTCTTCCTAACAATGAGGCGATTGCTTGGGAGTACACTCAGGACATCGACGCTGTATCAGACATGTTCAATGGCCTCAAAACCAAGTACTTCCGGCCGCCTTTTGGCAACGAGGGCGCACGTATGCGCCAGCAGCTGGTTTCGACAACGGGTAAAAGTGACGCCTACATCGTCAACTGGAACATCGACGTCGAGGATTGGCTCTGGGCCACTTCTTCAACACCCGAGAAGCAGCTGGAGGCATTCCAGCGCGACCTGAACAAAGGGGGCAGCCTTGTCGTCATGCATTACTTGTACCCTAGCACCGTCAAGTACCTGAGACAATTCATTCAGATGGCCAAGAAGACAAACAAGCAGCTTATGCGGGTTGATCAGTGTATGGAAGATCCTGAGGCACCCCCACTGTAGAGAGAAGACCTTAAGAAGTTTATACCTTTTTTTTGATAAGATTACTTGTACTTAATACTTCAGTATTTAGAATAGTTTACAAAATAGTACATATTATTTTTAATACATGTCTCTTGTTCTTATAACTAGACACTACTAGAGTAATAAAAAATATTATAAATAAACACTATACTCTTAAGGATTAGTATACTATAAGATAATAGCTAGAGACACTTAACAAGGTAGAGCTTAATAGTATATATTAGTATATTATAAGACTTAAGCTTATAGAGTATAACTTAGTAGACCTCTATTACTAGTAAAACTCTATAGTAAAACTAGTTTACTAAAGGCTTTATAATAGGGTATAGAACTAAGAATTACTATAATAAACTCTATTATAGATAGTAGTAGTAATAGCTAAGTGTTATAAGACAAGACAAGACATTATATTATAGATAGAAAGTATTAATAATAATAAGTAACTAGGGTAGAAAGTAAACATACTGTAAATATAAAGGTAGATAAGATATATAGTATTACTAAAGCTAAAAGCTACTTTCTTCTCTCTCTTACTTTGTTCCCCTTAAGGATTCCTAGTATATATACACTTACTTTACTTCTATATACCCCCTAAGTATATAACTATTTTATATACCTTATTATTATAGTTAGTAATCTAATAGTAGGGTTTCTACTAAGAATAAGCTAAGGTTAATACTTAGTTAATAGTAGTATTAGCTTACTAGTCTATTAATTACTTAGTAATTAGTTAGGTAGTTAATAGTTATAAAGGTAGCTTATATAGCTCTTATTAATTAAATTACTAAGGTTAAATACTAAAAGGTATTTAAATAAATTATATTATAAGAAGTTAATTACTAAAGAGCTATAAAAGTCTATCCTTAAGTATATCTAAGTTTATCCTATATATAAGTCCTAATCCTATTACTAAGTACTATTTTATATATTTTCTAAGCGCTTATA